TAAACCCTAAACCCAAATTATGAACCAAAAACCCTAATTAAACCCTAAACCCTCGTCAGCAAACCATCCGAACCATCCGAGGGGACCTCGAGTCTCAGACCAGCACCTGACAAGCGAATCCTTTTGTTTTCGAAGGTTTCGGACGCGAGAAATTCTTAGTCTTAGGGATCTTAGAAGAGTTTGAGGGTTTAGGGCTCCTTTCAAGCATCTTTTTTCGGCTTCCCTTCAGATTCTGAGGTTCTTGTACGGGTTCTACAAAGATGTGTTCATGCTCTAGGGGTAGGATTCAGGCTTGGCGTTCAACTTCAGCGGTTTTGGGTTTAGGTGCCTAGGCTTCGGCCCATGTCAGATTGAGGCTCAAACTCAGGTTCAAGGGTTTGAGAGGGCCGCTTGGGATGAGTGGCGGTTGGCGTTAGAGCTAACTAACACTATGGATAGACCCTAAACCCTAAACAGTAGCTTATGTCAAGGATTTCGGGTCCGGGCTGTGCCCTGAGCGTTCAGGGCTCCCGGAGCCTTCCTACACCGAACCTCGGGCTCAAGAACTTTGAAGGATAATGCAGGGTAGACTCTACTTCGACGGACGACCAACCGCATTCTGTCTGCGCATGAAGCTCCGCCACTACGCATCTGCAACCCTCAGATTCATGTATACTTAATCCTGGGCACTACACCCTAAACCCTAAACCGAACCCTAAACCCTAGACCCTAAACCCTAAAACCTAACCTCGAAAAACCATTAAAAAAAGCCTGCGATCCGGTCGTCCATACATGCAGCTCCTGAGGCCTCCTTGCCGAATAAGTATGGAAACCACTAAAGTGCAAGTATGTGCATACATAGGGTTTAGGGTTTAGGGTTTAGGGTTTAGGGACATGCACCATGTATTTATGCATGCATGCATGCATGCATGCACATATATGTATACGTGTAGGTATGTAAAAGAGTATGTCGGCATAAGCGTATGTATGTATGTATGTATGTATGTATGTATGTATGTATGTCTTTATACTTATGCACGTATGTATGTGTCCATGTAAGCAAGCACATATGAATGTATGCACGGTAATAGCTATCTATCTATCTATCTATCTATCTATACATATCTAAATCTATACATATATATATATATATATGCAGATAGAAATACACATAGACACACACACACACACACGCACATTTTAATTACGCATATTACATAGCACGACTCAACCATATAGCCCAAAAGCCAAGTCAATCCCAAAGAATATCAACCTCAGAACCAGGGAGCAGCAAGAGCGGACATGCTACGGTTAACTCTGAGGATTCGATTTTCAAGAGTTTACAGCTTCTGGGTTACAGAGCTCAAGGGTTCGATAGGGCTTTTGTGCTTCCAAGGTGTACTCATTAATTAAAGCACTCTTATGACCCTCTCTTATCGTTTGTGCCCGGCGCCCACCAAACTCACGGAGCTGAAACCCTCCTGCCCTGCCAAATCGTGCCGATAAAGCCTCCATGGCTCAAGAAGCTAGCTCTTAGTATGCATCCTCGCCTCCCCTCCCCTCTGCGGCTGAAGGACCTACTATTCACACCCCCCCATCCAGACTGCTGCTGCCTTTTCTGGGAGGCCCCAGGGACGAAGGCTGGAGTGATCCATAACCACCATCTGGACAAATTGGCAGGGTGTGGGGGCTCAAACTCTCCCCGCTACATGTTGGCAACCGGAAGTTTTCCAGAACTCATCGCCCGAAGGGCAAACGCTATGTCTGCGTGGGAGTGGTCGCCGTGGTCGTCGTAAGAGCGTGTGCTCCTAAGACGGCCCTACCATGCCCTACCTTGATTCTTTGTAGTGTTCCTCCCTTTCGTTTTTGCTAAGGTGCTATGTATGCCTTGGAATTTCCGTCATGGAAATCCAAACCTGAACCCCAGTGTCCTCTTCTCCTGCTCCTTGTCTGCACTGTCGTATGTAGTACTAATGGTCGTAAATTCTCATAAGACACTGCGACACTCACTCAGGAACATCACATGCACTCCGATGCCACTGCCACCACCAAAATGACATGGATAAGGGCACGTCGTGGGAAAATGTTAGAAACACAGTGCCTCTCGCAATATGAACTTCAACCCAGCCTAGCCAAAAATCAGCTATCAACCTTGCGCTGTAGTCAGCTTGCCAGCACCACTGAGACCGACTGTGCGGAACCCCGGCTTTCAGTTCACATTGCGCCAGCAAGTCTGTTGAAACACATTTGTAAAACCGACGGCTGCAACCATGACACCAAGCGCTCGCGACACCCTGCAAGCAAAGAATCTGCGCCTGAAAAGTAATTAAGCTTGTCATCGCTGGCTGCACCAAGCCTGGACAGCAAGAGGAATGTGATGACTACTAGATTTTGGTGTTCTGAGAGCCGTTACGACCGTCACGCTGTCCAACAAAAAGCAGTCGCAAACGAACGCCCGTCTGCAAGAGCTGGATATCGGCATCGTTCCTGCTGTTGGTAGCACGACGACTCAGGAACTATATACAACGAGGTTTACTGCAGTGTGCGCCTGCCACCAAAAACCATAGTCAATAGATAGCACTATAGTTACCGTCATCTACTCTGCGGTCGCCGTTTCTTGCCGTTTTTTGTAGACACGTTCGGTTCAAATTACCATCCTCACCGCTGCTTGGCTCGAGATCGTGTCACGTTGTTTACAAGAACCGGCGCCCGGTCTTCCTCCTTAAGTCTGTCTTCCACGTTGGACTAACGTGCTGCCTACGACCGAAGGATTTGCTCTTTGCTCCAGCAACCTGAGATCTCAGCTCCGCAACCTCATCTCGAATGTCTCAGGCTAAACATCTCAAGCAGGAACTAGCAAACTACCACCCGGCAACCAGACAAGACCCGCCAAACTCTCAAGGAACACATATCGCATCGGAGCCGACTTAACACAGGCTTGAAAACCGGGGAGTTGGAACCTCAGAGGGCGCTCAAACCTTCAATCAGCAAAAACGAAAGCGCCATCAGCGCGAACCGTCAATCCCAAATTCGCAACCCGAAAACTTGCGAGTTAGCCTTTGGAGGTTATAACCGTTTGTTGCACCTGAACTGGCACAGCAGTGACACAGCCACAAGTCATGTGCCTGAGTCCACTCGGCTGTCGCCGGCCTGTCTGATTAGCTACTGGTACTGCACTCCTGCTCCTACTACTAGTACTACGTACGTAATCAGCTACCACTCTACTACTACGACGACGGCGAAGACCGCCGACTACTACTCTGTTGCTGTTACGACTACTAATCATCGTCCCCTTCCCAATTGCCAAGCAGTTTAGGGGGGACTGAGGGCTGCGGTCTCTTCCAACTCGCATGTCATGCAAACCGGCAGCTCTGATGAATTTGTACCATGATTCCTTCATGCTGGCTTTTAAAGTCGCCTGAGGCTGTTGGGCATATTCAACTGATCCGGTGCGATTTGGGTTGGGAAACCTGAAGCCAGACAACAACTTCCGCCCCAAAATCCTGACTTCGAGGGGAGCAACGTTGAGGATTTCAGGGTCATGTTTGACGTGTTGAGAGTTTTTTTCTGGCCAGTCCATAAAAGACTCCAGTCCAGTATCAGCTTCAAGCCAAGCAGCGGAGCCAGCGGCCTGCCACCCTGGCAGTTGGTTTTGTGATGTCGGGATTTGAGGCACTTCTCGCTGCACGCACACACACCGAAGCCTCTTAAGTCCCAAGAGCGACATGCCCAACAATTGAGGCCTAACTAAACTGAAGTAAACCCCCAGCAAGCACCTAACCGACCTAACCTAACCCTAATTCGGGGGTCCAACAGCATCGAGCTCATCAGACTTCAGTTGTTGGGGACTGCAGCCGGCGGCCGCGTCTTCCTACACCTTGAAAACCCAAGCTTTGCAGCCAAATCCTGGGCTCGGTGGCTACGTGTAGTCAGTGTAGTCCTTAAGCCCTCAGAGCCGTGAAACTTGTGCTACAATGACGATTGCGAGCATGTTGTACAAGCCACAGAAATTGTTGGAAATGCTCTGCTGCATGGTCTTAGCCGGATCAACATTCCTAGTCGCCCAGCCCTGTCGACCCTTGCTCCACTCTTCTGCTACTGGTGTCTCTGATGGAGTGACAGAACATGCCCTCGTAGGTCTAGAAACGCGAAACAAACGCAAGTCAAGCGGCCATGAGGTTAAACAGCAAAATTGCAATCACCCCTCCGCCCCATTTCCAGTTGCCACTAAAGCCGACACTGGAGGCATGATGTTCTGCGATGCTGTGCAACTCCGGCTGTGAACTCTGTTCAACAAAGCCTTGTCTTGCTAGAGTAGTGGACAGTCCGAAAGGCGTCATACCCACTTCTGGATGTGCATGAAGTGTGTGGCATTCTTAAAAACTCAGAGCTTGAAAAAGTGTCAGTCGGGACCGACAGAGGGCCTGAGGTGCAGCAATGCATTCCCGCATTGACATAAGTTAAATTGAAAACGCTGCGTTTCGCATGCGTGACAGGGTCCAACGTGCAGAGATAGTCACGATCACCATGATGACCGAGAAACTTGCTTTTGCAGGGAGGAGGTCAGGATGCTGACTGGGTATCACCTTGGCTGGTGCAACGATCCTCCGTGTCGTATAATCATGGAACATCATGGAACCGTGTCTTCTTCAAGTACATTAGCTATGCATCTGTGCGACGTTTCGGGAACCCAAAAGCCTCCAAGTCACTGCCTGGCAAAGCATATCAAGAGAGAAGAATGCGACGAGGAGAGACACGCCGGCGATCACGGCCAGAAGGCTCGCCAAACCGTCTATGAGAAAGCCACCTGCTTCCAGCCAATGAAACCAACAAATACGTCATGACTCAACTCCTGCTTCTGGACGGGCTAGCTCTTGCCCGAAAAACGACCCTAAACCCTAAACTCTAAACCGTGGCCGCCAGACCTTAGACCTGCAACACGCATGCAGGGAGATGTAGCCAATCCTTCACAAATTCAGTCGTTTCACCATAGCTGCTACTTCGTGCTTTCCCGGCCACGACTGGTAACCTCATTTTCGCTACGCGTACCTGAGCATGCATAATGATACTGTGGCTTGTCTTGATGGTGAAGGGGACGACAGACTACGTAATGTAGGGGCCTCAATAATCATACCATAATTGTAATAAGGAAGGCCCCTATATGCCCCTATACTACCACCCCGGCAAAAAAATTACGACGTGCTCCCCGGGTTTTGAAGCACTTGCTCCGTGGCCTCGCTTCGCGCGGAGTGAGTAGGCCACCATCGCTGCAAAGATGATGATGCTTGGTAGCCTCCGGTTTAGGGTTCAGGGTTCAGGTCTAGGGTTCAGGGTTTAGGGTTCAGGGCTCAGGGTAATTATCCTGCGTGGCACTTCAAAAGTTTGGATCCAGAAGTCAAAAGTTCGAAACTCACAACTTGGCAAGACGGACCAGTAATCAAACATTCGTCGAGTCAAGTCTGTGCTACGGGCTGACTCTTTCCGAGCTCCAATCTCAAGACTTGGGCTGGCAAAGGAGTCAGTGGTGCCGTTCATTTTCATGTAGAACATATGTATATATACATATACGGATGCATACACACACACACACACACAAATATATCTGGAGATAGGTATATGCGTACATACATGCATACATACAGACATACATACAGATATACATACATACATACAGACAGACATACATACGTACATACTTACATA